AGTTGGTGTTGTAAGACACCGCCTCTGTTCAAAGATGGTTTTAATATGCTGGTATAAATATGTATCCATTATTTTGTAAGAAAACTACATTTGATTCAAAGTCACTTTGTTTTCTCACTGTTTTCAGGACCAAGGCCGTGCCACAGATATCAGGAAAAGTTAAAGTCAAATGCAAAAGAGATGTCAAATAAGTTTTGGGGAGAAAGTCAAAAGCTGTTTGGAGGAAACAAGAAGCCTGATCTGTCGTACGCAACACTTGTATTAGACACAGACGAAAGTGTTTCTCCATCTAAAATAAAGAAAGTGAAGAAAAAGAAAAGCAAGCTGAGTCGCCCTAAAAAGATGAGAAAATACATCCCTGAGGAGAAACCAGACATTCCCCCCAGTGAGCTGCTGGAAACGGATAAAAACATACTCTTGGTTGGAAAACCTGGAATTGGAAAGACAGCACTGACTCATGAAATGCTGAGACTCTGGGCAGAAAGAGAAAGCAAAGAGCCTGATTACATGTTTTACTTTGACATGAGGGAAATATCTGACATCATAAGGGACAAAAACTTAGAGGAACTTCTTTTTGGTGTGTTCTGTGAACCTGATGAAGGCAAAGATGAGGTCTTACAGGATATAAAGAGACACTCTGACAATATCACAATAATCTTTGATGGGATCACAGATCTCTCCTCACAGGTGGTCAAGAAAGTTTTAACAAAGAAACTACTTCCTCTTGCAAAGATCATCATAACATGCAGACCAGATAATGAAGACTTGTTTTCTGGGGACTTTCACAAAGTGGAGGTGAAAGGCTTTAGTGAGCAGACTATTAAAACATACTTGTCTGCAACACTCGGTGAAGATCAGAAGAAGGTTTTGAGTAACTTGGAGTTGGTAACTCTTTGTCATGTCCCCATGTATGCACTGATGGTCACTGTTTGCTTTTCATCAAAAGATGCTCCACAGCCATGTACAGTAACTGAGATATACATCAATATTGTTCGATTCTGCCTTCAGATAAACAGCCAAAAAACGAACGAAGATCTAAATTCCTTCATCAAAACCAAGAGAGAAGAAATTCTGTCTCTGGCTGAAGCTGCTTTTCTTGCAACCCAACAAAAAACTGTGAACCTGACAGACCTGACCTGTAAAGACATCTGTGTCCTGTCCTTCCTGAAACCACTTCTCATTAAGGAGGCCGTGACTGAAACAATAACCACA